ATGTGCCGTTTCGAAGATGATCTTCTTCTGAACAAGGAGGTGTACACAAGGAGGTGTACATAAACTTTCCCCGGGCATTCAGCAACCATAGCCCATTGAAGAACATAGCTGTAAGCATAGCTTTATGATGAAGTGAATCTACAGTATATTGTCAATACGTCACCAAGAGATATGAATTGTTGAAGGACAGTTTATGTACACCTCCTTGTTCAGAAGATCATCTTCGAAACGGCACATCATTCCGGAGACCACCGTCTACTACATTCACTATTTCTATTTACATTTCTGTTATTGTATATTATGATTTATAAATATATTATTAAGCGCTAAATTGTCACAGTTCTTTTCCATTTTTCATATGCCCGGGGAAATGCCAATCGCCACTTTGGGGCCAGGAAGGAATTTTTCTCCAGGCCGGTTTGCCTGGAGATCCTGGAGGTTTTCCTGTCATCTTCTGGGCATGGAACAGGGGGTCACTGGGGGTGTGGAGGGGGAGGTATTTGTGAATTTCCTGCATTGTGCAGGGGGTTGGACCAGATGACCCTGGAGGTACCTTCCAACTCTATGATTCTATGACCCTTTCAACTGGAGATGCCAGGGATTGAACCGGGGACCTTCTGCATACCAAATGGATGTTCCCCCACTGAGCTACATCCCCGCCTCCCTGGCACCAGGTGTGCATGCCCTCGATCTGTTTGGGCCTTTGTTAACCCTGAAGGCATGCAGATCCTTCCAAGGTGTCCGTTCAAAAGCCAATCTGTCCCAGAATTCAATGCACAACCATTTCTCTACAATGCTCCAAGTGGGACCCGGCAGTAAAGCGTAACCAAGAGAGTGCTGTTTTTTCTGCAACATCACGAGGAGCGACCCGCAATTTGTTAAACTTCTAGCTCATAATGCGCCCCCACATCACAGGGCAGATGATGTCATGCATGATGTCATGCACTGAACCGGCCAATGGCCTTCGGACATGGGCCATTGTGAGATCATTGCTAATATTTCTGGAGTAAAAAAACCCCCCTCTCAGAACAGTCCAGTCTGGGACCAGCCAAGACCCAGGACGACCACAACATGGCTTTTTCCCATCGGTAAGGGCGACACACGCGATCTGCAGCATTTCCATACGAACATTCATCATCAACGTTCAGTCTTTGGATGATTAGATGCGATGGATTTGTACCGTGGTCCTCCTTTCTAGCAGAAAGGAAACTCAGAAGCCTGAACGTTGTCTTGGATCTGTTGAAGTCAATGTACTGTTTTGGAGGGGTAGCTTCCCAGGGACAGAGAAAGACGACCAAGGAGGTCCAAGGCTACGCAGAGGCAGGCAATAGCCAATCACCTCTATTTGGTGTAGTGGTTTGGTGTAGTGGTTAAGTGTGCGGAGACTCTAATCTGGGAGACCCGGGTTTGATTCCCCCACTCCTCCACTCACACCTGGCTGGATAACCTCGGGCAAGCCATAGTTCTGATAAGAGCTGTCCTTGAGCAGTTTCTGCCAGAGCGCTCTCGGCCCTCACCTACCTCACAGGGTGTCTGTTGTGGGGAGGGGAAGGGAA